TTTTTTCGTGGTTTTTGTATTAGACCCGTCGTCCGTTTATTTGTAAGTCAATGGATACACCAGTTAGTTAGGCGAGGATCGAAATGAAATGCTTTTGACGTGTTATCGTGTATTTGTTTTGTTTTAAGTGTTTTGTTTTTGTTTGTTTTTAATTGTAACTAATAAAATAATGTTTTGCAGTGGGTGGACGCTAACAACGACGAGGTAATTTGACTAAATTTTGTTTTTAATATAAAAATTAACCTCTGGTTTATACAAGGTTTTTGTGCAGCGTAACTTTTTTTTTTGGGACACTGCATTTTGGGTCTATTTCTTTCTTTCTCTTTTTATTATTTATATTCTGGTTCTTTTTTCTTTATTTCTTTGTACAGGATGTTAGATGTTTGGTATAAACGGAATTATGTAGCTGTGATTGTAGAGGTTACTCCACTTCTCAAGGATAACAAAATTTAGGGAGTGAAGTTATTTTTTACGATCTAAATAGCGTATAATTGTTTTTGTTTGAAAAAACAAATGAGGAAAATATTTTTATAAGACATGGTCAAAAAGGCATGAAGTTACGTCATAACAAAAAGAAAAAAACTAAATTAATACATACCATTGCCTTATTTTCTCAAACTCGTATCTTATAAAGAGTGCTTATTCAGGAGATGGCGAAACTTTCTATTCATTTTAAATTTCTATCAAGGGTGTTAATTTTAATGCATTACTTTAAGTATAGGTAAAAGTCAGTGTGGGAATATAAAGGAAATGTGATATGAAATCAACCTGCAAAATTTGTATAAACAAACCATTTTTTGCATTTCAATAACTTTGTACTTTAAGATACGAGTTTGAGAAAGTAAGGCACCGATTTGGTACTTAACTCAGGCACTAATAACTTTTTATGAAACATGACATCGGGTACTTTTTTGCCAGCTTTGCCACTATCTCGCGTTGCATATTTGGAGAAGGAATTGTATATTTTATATATTATATATACAATATTTTTTGTAATATAGTTTTGTAATAATGAAATCGGTCGAATCAATACATTTGATGTTACGTAAAATAACTTAATGTGGACCAATCTATACGTAGGTATTGAAAATCCCGTTTTGGCGGTTTGATGTCGTTCAACGTTAAGAAACTAAACTGACAGTTGTAGATATCAACCCGGTTATATACTAAATAGTAATGTAATGTGTTATTTTCAAACTTAGGGCTTTAGTGAATTTGAAATAATGTAGTGAATTTATTTTATTCAAATTTATAATTTTTTGTGACGTTTGAAGTCGCAAAAAAATTATTTTAATATTAATTTCGCCATTGTTTTTGGCAAATTCTTATCATAAATTTTCTAGATAAGAGACACGTGGCGACGTTTTGTTGGGAGGTCTATGTTTAGCGGAGGACGTCTTTCGGTTAATAAGGATGATGGTTGTCTTCTCTTTATTTGCTACGTATAAAATTTACATCTTTTTTTAATTCGCCAAAAATATTTTAAACATAACTCTAACATCCTGTATTTTTTCCTCGTTCTTCTGTTTTCCAAACTGGCTCTTTACGCGGGTTTACTAAAAAAATATATTTTTATAATGTTGTAACATTGTCATAATGCACCGACTTCTTCATTGGGAATAAGATGTTGTGTTCGTTGCATAGCTTCATATTGGGCAAAGGACCTCGAATAGAAAAATCCATTTATTGTTATTTTCATAGCATCAACTCGATTGTTAAGGGAGTAGAGGTCAAACGACTTATAAATTAGTTATATGTAGGAATTCAAATTTGTGGATTTTTTTTTATAATAGCAAGTGACGGGACTTAAAAGTCCTGCGCCTGGTGTCGAACGACACGCCTGTTCGTAGCAGTTCTACTGCCGCAGCGCCCGTCACCCTGAGACATAAGTTGACAAGTTAAATGTTCCTGTAATTTCACCCAGCCCTCTTACGCATTACATTTTTAATTAATGTTTTTTAACAACAGTGAATTTTTTGGTCAATTTCATTTTCAAATTATAAAATTGATTAGAAAAAATCCATCAATTGAAAAAGAAAAAATTAAAAAAACCTAAATTTCAGCAACTTGTAAAATACATTTCCCTAGACACAACGTATCTCTTAAATCTCAAAAATCTTACTACCTAAGTATAACTAATTATCAAACCAAATGTTTAGACCTTTTTTCTTTCTGAACAGTCGATCAAATCTTGTCTCTTATATAGTTTTTTTTAAATATTTTATATCCGGGTTATATTACACCTCTGTTTTGTTGCCTACATTATTGCTTTTAATTTAAAACAAAATATTAATTTTCCGAAAACTTAATTGTATTAAATATGTGTCAACAGCATTTCATAACAATTACCCTGGTTATTGATTTGAATAAAATTATTTATATCAAATAATAATTTTACTCAATTTCCTTAAGACATCGAGGCTGTACAGTGTAGGGAAGAGAAAATGTAAAAAAAAATTAGTGAAAAATGTTGCCACACGAAATTATCCTTTCCTGCACCTTTTTTTTTATTTTTTTCCTAATCATACCTTCCGATATTTAAAAAAAAAGCTTGAGGCAATGAAATGTTTTTATTGAGTAACTTGTTTTGAAGAAGTGGTAGTATTAATAATTATAACTTTAAAAAGAAACCGACCTCAAAATTTTCTGGAATTACATCTAATTGCCATGTTTTATTAAAATCGGTTAACGGAAAGTGGGTGAAATCCAATGGACCAGATTCATTCCCTAATTTGCGACCCTTAGAGGTGGAACATTTTCTTCAATTTTGAATGGGGCCACTACTGAGGCACTCCCACCTTTCCAACAAAAAAAAAATCATCAAATTCGGTTCACAAAAGTCGGGATTAATCGCGTAACATATATAAAAACAAAGCCTAGTAAACGCCTCCTTTTTTGAAGTCGGTTAAAAAAGAAAATTACACTTGATATAAACATGTAATATTAATGCGTAAAAACATTTTTTTGTTACGAAAATTTTAATCAAAAAGCTTTGCATGGCGAATGTTATTTTGCTTAATAATAAGTTTTTTTTACAAAAGAACTATACTGTACATGCTCGATGACTTACCAGGTTGAAAAAAAAGAGCCATCTTCTATTCTTTTCTTTTATTTCGTATTGCACAACATCTATTTTTTTCCTCCATTAATCTTGCACCCTATCCTTTTTCTTATACTAATCCTAATTTAGTAATATATATTTAAATATACTTTATAGCAAAGATCCGGCAACATTTTTACTAATTCATACTTTTTTTCTCTTTCCTTACACGTACACTTCGAACCAAAAACAAAATGGCGTCGTCCTGAAAAAATATGGTTGAATTTCAACTACAAATACAAAATGGTTGATCGATTTACAACACTGGATTATTATTCGTGTCATGATTATCTTGTGATTTTAAACTGATTACTTACTTCGTTGGCTTCTGGTGAATGTTGATGACTTCTGATGACCCTGAATAACATTTGATGATCATCTACTCTTTTGATGGACAATGATGAACGTACAATAATCATATGAAATGATTATTACACACTTCTGATGAACAATGACGACTACTGATCAACATGGATGACTTCTGATGAACATGGATAACTTTTGATGACCTTTGATCGCACATTGATGACCTCAGTGGGTACAAGATGGGTCGCCGGCGCATTCAGGCACGCCGGTTAAGATTGACACTCTGCAATTTGTTCCGAAGAATACCAACCCAAAGGAGTTCAAGGCATTGCAACAACAGGTATTCTTTTTTTTTACTATCGCATGTGTGAATGAAAGTTATACATAGTTAAAAAAAGGTTTAGCTATAAATTAGACGTGGAACGTCGACGCATGTATAATGGTGTGAAGATTTAGTATGGAAGATCTGTATATAATTTATTTCGCGATTTTGGGGTGGTTCTCAATAATCAATTAATGGATTAAAATCGCCAACGATCAAAGAGGTTTGCTTAGTAAATAAATAGGTCAAATTCGTCACCTTTTCGGTGAAGGAAAGAAGAGACCCCGTGCCCAGCAATGGGACGTAGCTATGATAGAGAGTGTATGAAAGCTTTGACGCATGTGATGAGTCATTTGTGCAAGTGGCTGTTGTGTTTCTACCCTGGACCCCGATTCAGAACTCTTCGATATTTTAACCGAATCCTTCGGTTCGATATCGTTCACGATTCGAAGGGTGCTTTCCGAGCTATTCCGAACATTCGAGTTAAAGGTCGGTGACATAGATTATAAGAAAAATGAATACATTTGAAGACTTTAAAGGCCTAAAATGTAGGAATGCATTAGTCTTGCATTAAAATAACAAAACGTTTGTAGCCTTTGACGTCCGATTCGGGTATTGTGAATAAACACGAAAAGAAATCGATCGACAACTAAGTTATCGTAGAAGATTCTGAATCGACTCCCTGATGGAAAAAGGCGGGAAGTAAATTTATGTGTTATTCTTTATAATGCCTTAGTAACGTGTATTCTAATAGTTAATTACAATATAGATAAAGGACAACCGTCGTGCAGACAAAATCAGCGCTGGTCCCCAGTCTCATATCCTCGAAGGCGTGTCCTGGGACGAAGCTAGCAAGCTGGTGGGTGAAGATGCTGCCAATACGCATACCGGAGATCACGTTGTGAGTATACTCTGTGTTCAATGTCTATCTAGGTTCGATATCCTTTGCTCTGAGGGAATCCTCTAGTTTGAGACCGTGTAATCGTGATGGGCAGCGGCGTAGACGCAGTGTAGAATTTCTTCTACAGCACACCATTTTTAAAATAGAAATAAATATTAATTATACTATTATTTGTAAATTCAATTTAATTTAATTCTTAATTATTTACTTCATTAATAATAACAATTTTCCGTTAATAAAATTCAATTTAATTGTTATGTAACGTAATGTAATAATAAGTAATGTCAAATTTATTCATGGGTGTATATATACAAAAGAAACATTTTATTTATTTATTATTGTAAAAAAAACAGTCAACATCCCTCCCTTGCCGAGCCTCCCTTGGCGAGTGGCTTGCACACCGGTTTTCATTGTCGCCATCTCTGAGGTCCCGGGTTTGATCCCCGCCTGGGCAATATAGAAAAAAACTATATTGGGTCTGGGTGTTTGTGGTACCGTCGTTGTTTCCGATTTCCATAACACAAGTTCTTTAGCTACTTACTTTGGAATCAGAGCAACGTATGTGTTGTGTATAAAAAAGAAATGGATCTTTAAATGACCATTTTATATGTAATGACAGGTGCTGATGGGTGCGGCATCCAAGGGCATAATCCAGCGTGGTTACCAGCACCACGCCACCGTGTACAGCGCACCATACGCGCGCAACCCCTTCGACCACATCTCTGACAGGGAGATTGACGAGTACCGGCGTATCGTGGAGCGCAAGCAGCGATCTGATTGTACGTATAAATAACTATACTCAGTAAAACTAAGCTTCATTAAACTGCCTTCATTGCCGAATGGTTGCCATGCTGGTCTGCCACGCAGAGGTAACCACAAATTACACCCCATGGAAAAAAAACAATGGTGCCCGTAAGCCTCGATTGCTATCAGAACCTTGTTGCCAAAACTCACACATTCTAAATTTGAAACACTACAAAATTTTGATATTGATTGGTCGTGGTTTCAAATTTAAAAAGAAATAACAATTTCTGGATTGTTAACATAATTTAAACTTTACCCTGTTGGCATATCGTTGAAAGTTCAATACCATCAATACCTATTATTGCAAGTTACGATGCTTTTATATTATATTGAATTTCAATCAATGTGCTGCCATCTAGCGGTTAATTGCTGAACAACGACGAATTGGAGTTAATAATTTAGTTCTCCAAAAAGAAGCGGCCATCTTGCAAGGATGTAAGCTTTACTTCCGTTTCTTGTAACAAAAGAATTCTTTCGATAAACAAAAAATAAAACTTTACTTTCTGATGATATTGAATACCAATATCATCATAAACCACCTCCGTGGCCGAACGGTTCCCATGACTGCCACGCAGAGGTCCCAGGTTCGATTCCCGGGCCGAGAGAAATATTTATATGACCTACATTTATTTCTCTCGTGAGTTTGGGTGTAATTTGTGGTTGTCTATGTGTGTGTCCATGGCACCCGCGACACAGGGTTTCCCTAGTGCGGGGCTATGTTGAGTGTGTGCGTTATTATTATTATTACCACCACGGTTAATATTTTAGGTGCGGCTGTCATTTTTGCACTCCAAAACAGCACAATAAGGCATTTTTCTAGGATTTTAGAGAATTTGCACGAAAGAATGACACAACCATACCATACAAAACTAAAATGGCTGACGGGTATGAGGTTTGAGGTTGAATCTCAAGTTTGAGTTTAGATTGTATGAGATACTGCCTCCGTGGCCAAACGTTTACCCTGCTGGACTGCCACGCAGAAGTCCCGGGTGCGACTCCCGGGCCGGGGTAATATTTGTTTAGCCTACATTTATTTCTCTCGTGAGCTTGGGTGTAACACTAAACAATAAATACAGTAGAAGTGGTTAGTTAGCATCTGACGCGTGCCAACAATAGGTTTCGAAAGACCTATTAGAGCTTGGTCCGCTCTTTTCGCTTTATATGGTAATCGAGAAGAGATGAGAAGAAATCGAGAATCGATGTTAAAATATATCAACTGAATTGTGACATTTAAATCATGATGAGATTTGTTGTCAAATCTGTATTTTCAGATGACACAGACCTGTCTGAATCGGAAGCGATCTCGGCTGCGCAAATAACATCACCAGCTAGCGCGCCTTCGGAGACCGAAGAGGAGTCTCGCGATGGTAAGTTTTTTTTCATCACACTTGCTCATAAGTAGTATGATTACATGGTGGCTAACTTGTCTGTAAAGTCCCATTACAGCCATGGTCGGTAAGGAGTTTTTTTAAATTTACAGCACGACTAGTAAGTAGTTGCTTGAACTTAAACCTGACCTATGTAAGGAAGTATCCTTAGCAAGGAGGTTACTTATGTTCATAATTAAAACATTCGCTTGAAATATTATCCAAACGGATATTTAATTACAATTCAGCCACATACTACTTAAATACTTAGTATAAATAATTTATTATGATTTTAGTTATTTCCTGTGTAAAAATGTAGCAATTTTGTTAATATTTTTTTTTGTCCGTGTTATATTATTATCTATGGAAAAAAGCTTGCCATTTTCAAAATCCACAATTGTAGTGTTGTGAACCATATTTATTCATACAAGACATAAACATTGTATTTATTTCCTCGCAAATGTGATGAAAAGTATTGTATGTATCACGGAATTCCTGATAAAAAAAAACTCGAGTTATTTAAGCCCTCAGCATTCGGCTTCGGGCTTTTAATAGGTCCTCCTTGGTATTTTCTTTGTTACCGTCCTTAAAACACAATGTGCTAATATTTACATCGGGATTATCTTTAAAATGAAACATCCGAATCTTTAATTTCATCATCAACCCTTTTACACGTCCCACTGCTGGGCATGGTCTCCTCTCAGGCGAAGGTTTAGGCCATAGTCCGCCACGCTAGCCTAATGCGAGCTTTTGATTGGTAAATGGAAGTGAATGGTTAATTTTATTGTTCTCTGACGCTATGTTCTATGACACTATATCTGTGATTATAAAGGGAGGTATTACCCACTCATAAATGTATTATTTCCTTGAAGTTTGGTCAAATACACGCTACCCTTGATGATGATATGAATGGTTAATAATTCCAGAGCACCGCGTATTGAGAATAGAAACGAAGCAAGCCCCAATCAGGAGCCAGCCTGAAGTTGTGCTCTCCGACGGTGAGTATGCAAATAAATTTCATATAATACTTATCTTTTATACAGGCTGTACTGGATGGTGTATTGAGAACTTGATGAATTAGACTCTAGTTGCTGGTATTTATTGCTGTTAGAGGAATTTTATGTGTTTTTTTATACATATAAGGCATCTATTGCGATCTTAGATAGATATGGTGTACATTTGACCTTTTGACCGCCAATGACAAAAACTAGTTTTCGTGCCCTGGACGCCAAGCCTAGTGATATGACGTATTATGAATTTCCACATATATTGCTTCAATCTTTTATCTCCTAAGTTACAGAAGAATATAACCGAGCATAAAATGCAACTATGAAACCGTACTTAACTAGAATATAAAAATAATACATGGAATATCTTAATATTTGTTTATTAATTTCAATTGAAAATGAAGGAGTTTTGTTAACACTTTAAGGCTCAACTCACACTGGCGCAGAGTCGAAGCGTCGCGTCATGTTTTTCGCCTATAGCATATTCATCTCTATTTTCCCATTATTAAAGCACAAATTTGTGTTTTGCAAATATGGAATCGAGCATCGACGCGCATCGACGTTTGGTAGCATTCTAGCAATTCCGCGCGTCACTAGGGCGCTGTAAGACGTCAGACGCCAGACGCCGACCACACTGTGGTCCCGACGCACTAATGCAAGAATCGTCGGTTATTATACAACTTCTGCGTACTTGGATGGCAAAAGTCCGTGGTAGTAACCCGTTAGCGGTTAGCTCATGGAGGTAGTCTCGATCTCTGATGTTTCAAATAAAAAAAAAATATTGTAAATGTTATTTACAAAGAGCAACCCCTAGAGTTTCTTACTAATTCTTCTCAGGGGAATCTGCCTTACGAATGAGCGGTAGAGTTTAACCATTGTGACGATTTCAAGTGTAATAATGCTTACTTATGAAATAAAGATTATTTTGAATTTTAATTTGAATTTGAGTTGAAAAACAGGACGCGACTCGACGCTTCGACTTTGCGCCAGTGTGAGTTGAACCTAAGGCATCACTGGCGTATCAGCCAAGTTAATGTAAGACGCTTTAAAACGTTCATGGCGGTCAAAGGGTTAAAAAAAAATTCAATATCTAAATATGAGCCGTGTTAGGCTACCACAAAACAGATTTTTTTTCATATTAGTGTCTAAAAATTAAATGAAACTAAAACTCAAATTAACCTTTCACATTATTAATTATTTTTATGAATGTACATTATTGGTTGATTAATGTTGCCCTTTACACTATCAAATCGTTTTGAAACAAATAGAAGTTTTTACCAAAAAGAATTTTGTAAATCTATAGGTGAGACCATTGACTTACAATTATATGGACGTCGGGTCCGCGCTAAAAAGTGTCCGAACTTATAGGGCGTTAAAATCGTATACAGAGCGTCATTCACGCTTTAGTCTTCGTTTGTTCGACTGACAGCGAAGCAAGCAAAATTAGACAGTACTGCGATGACATTACAATTTAAATTCAACGTTTTAGCTTTTTCATATTCCTTTACGCGTCATGTCACTACGTTTAAATAGGTTGACTTGGGACATTTTTTTCGTGGTTTTTGTATTAGACCCGTCGTCCATTTATTTGTAAGTCAATGGGTGAGACGTAAAAAATCTTAAGTGCTAGATAGTAATTTTTGCTACAGAGCATTTTAAAGTAGGTGTTGAGTTCGTTGAGTGCGCGGATAGTTGGTCGCAACTCGTAGCCGCTATTGTAAATTTTGTGAATTTATGTTATTGTAGAGCTATTTAGAATTCAAATTGTTGTTAATATTATTTTGTGTTTGTTACTTTTATTGTTCTTATTGTTATTATTATCATTTTACAATTAATATTGTAATCCAATAGCTTGCTGGGCGTGTTGGTTAATCTGCAAGTCCACAAGAATTTTCTAATAAATAATATAAAAGACAATGAGAGTCTTTAATTAGGCATTTAAAATCAATCTTCAATAATCAATCTCAAGTAAATATTTAAAAAAAACATATGACGATAGGCCTTACGTATCTTTTACCATTGCGTGATTCCAAGAAGGTCCCTTAAGTGTGATGAGATGGAGTCTATATTTATTGAATTTTTAATTTATTTTGTGTACCAATAAATTATACATAAATACAGTTAAATATTTAATAAGGCACAGTTCTTCTAATCCAATTAAATGTCTTTACATAACTCAGTGCGTATTTTAATGTGTTGAAAAAAAAAATATAAATCTAAATTGTTCAAAAAAAATAGATTTACGAGTTGAATTCATCAAGTTGTGCATGCTGTTCTTTACATACCCTGTATTGTAATTATGTACATTACAGATTTCTCATTTGGTTTTAATTATTTTCTGGCTGGTTTAAATTTTTTTTTATATATATAAGAAGAGCATTGAAATGCATTTGCCTTTTTTTTTCTTCTAAATTTTTTTTTTGGCATGAGATTCTGTAGATATGAATTAGTTATGCATTTTTTTTTATATTATTATTAATGGATGTTATGAAAAGGAACTTTTCAAATTTTGATGTGGTATTCTATTCGCATGTAATCACGTACAAATGCGCTAAGTTAATCACGAGATATTTTTATGCGGTCTGATTGGCCGAGACACTCAAGTGCTACTAAGTATCGCACGATAGTTTCACGCGCTGTGATTGGTGAAGACTGTGCGCGACTGCCTAGCGGACATATTTCAGTGTCGGAGACTTTAAAGTACACAAAAAAAATAATTCTGTATGTACCTTAGGGAAAATTGTCTAGTAGGTCACGACTTAGAGTTCTTGCATAAAATTTTATTTGAAACGTTCCTTTTTGAACATCTACAGTCAATAACAAAATAAATCTAATTTAACACCCAATAAAGTCGAGTTTTGTTTTGTTTTCGGCTGTGAATTTGAATCTACGAAAGGATCGTCGAGAGTTTATTTTTGTATGTTTTTTGATAATGAATTCAATCTTTATTATAATACTTTCTTTTGGAGTAATATCGATCTGGACAACAAACATTAATGGACGTGGTATGCAATAGAGAATCGGACAACTTTTCAGAAAGCATTTCAATTAACCATAAAGGATATATGCAACCACGACACAAAATGTCCCTAAAATTGTTTAAATGTGATATAAAGAATAGTCAAACCAAAACTCGTGACGTCATTGGTAGGTAAACAAAGTAGACTGTGTGCACTTGCCACTTGCGAGAATTTCTAATGGTGCCATATAAAAAAATGCAATAACTGACCTTTTGACAAAGTAAAAAAGTAACGAGAATGGTCACCCTCCGCCCTCCCCAGCTGTAAATACCGCACTACCCCCCGCACATTCACGGTATATTGACGGAACGGCAACAAGGCTGTCAGTTACCGCAAAATCCGGAATTGGAAAAAATAATTAATTATTTTTTTGGTAGTTTTAACTAGTCTATGTCGCCCCTTGTAGCTATGTAACTGTCACTATATATTGTGTGGAACACCTTTTTACGGCCTTTGGTCATAAGTAACGCATTTGCGTTTAGGTAACTTTCGTGACGTTGTAAAGTTTTTTTTGTTAAAAAAATTGTCAATCACACAGATTTTGCTTAACTATAAAACTGAAACTAAATAAGATATAAAAAACCCGATTAGAGGGGGTTGTATATCATGTTTCGCTTCTCCCAAATATGTTAATAACTTAATTTCGCTAAAATTGTCGCCGACGTTAGTAAGAATAATAAGTAGTACGTATGACGTCACGGTGGTTTGCGCAGAATAAAAACATTACAATATTAAAATTTAACATATTGATTTAAAAATACAAATAATTTATTTTTTCAGACTTTCTATCTACAATTTAGATATTTTTGTGATTGTCCGATTGCCTATTGTTTACATGATACCACAGAGCACAAAATTTTGCATCGTACTATAGAACATGTTACGTATATTCGTGTACATATATTTAAATAACCTACGACGATTCTTTCTATAGTTTTTATTCCTCAACTTTGGCAAGTTACAGTTGGACACCTCCCAAACTTATTAAATTATAATAGAGTTTCCTTCCACGCACCAAACCTACCCTCATTTGGTCGAAGCCTACAAATGAGAACATAATATTTTATTGAAGAAATTTTCTTAAGTTTCTCACAGATGGCGCTGACGATAAAACAAAAAATATCTGCAACAAGTACAGAGAAATTCTTAAGATCTGCTGACACGTTCTTTTTATTATTTTTTATTATACCAAAAGATGTTGCGACACGCCTGTCCATATCAGTCACAGCTTTAAATCACAAAGATCACTGACACTGCCATTGCGCCTGTCAGAATGACAGAACTTGAAACATAGCTTGACAAGTCTCATCTGCCTTTTATTTCTACACCACCCTTTACCCTTCAAATTCGGAACGCAGTAGAGCTCATATTACCACTTGGTGGCAGAAGTATGTACGGTGAAAGTACTTCTCTGTACGAAACCTTTCACAAGGAACTCTACTACTTAAAGAGCTTCATCAGCTCATCCCGCCCGCCCTCTTTACCATCGGACATCCAGACGTATGGCGGGATATCAGCCTTACTTGGTCGATATTCCCTTCAGGGAAACTAAGCGCTTTTCATCATCTTTTATTTTCATTGCCCAGGAATGGTAATTCCCTGCCTGCGACTGTGTTTCCGAACTCATACAACCCGGGAATCTTTAAGGTGCGACTGAATAGGCATCTTCTAGGCGAGCTCGTTCCATCGCAGATCCTATCTTTGCTCCAGCGGCTTGATTTTGATTGCCTCTCCCGATCGGAAACTGCGTCTCTTCCGAGTCGAGGCGCATAATTGCGATTCACAACTGGCCGATCGGCAACTTTTGACATTTCAAATCGGAACAATAGGTGATTTAACAAATTAGAAAGATTTATGAATGAATTAGAAACCCATCTGATTTCGAGGCTACCCGATCGGTTCGATTCCTATATGCATCAAAATCAGCATGCTGAGCTTGTGGTCAAGAGCAAACCCATTTTATTACAAAAAAAAGAGTACTGGTCCCGGTGCGGCAACAGATGCTGGTTAGTGCCCAATAAGATCGAAGGAAGTTTTCTTTGTGTTGTTCTCTTTGTTCAATATTAATTAAACCCAGAAGTTAGTGTTACGTATGTCCATAAGTAACGTGTCAACATTCCATATTTTTCCCTTCTATGCATGAGTATGACACGTAGTTAAATTCGTAGTGGATACGACAGACTTCCTGCACGCGGAACGGGCGCACGCCGACCGGACTAGAGGTTAGTAGATTATAGTTTTAAGGTTAAAATAAGGTTCAAAATATACTAAAAAGCAATTTTTTATAGACAATGCACTGATAAGTACAATACGACTGAAATATCTGTGGACCTATCGGTACAAATTAAGATTAAATAGGAAAATCACCTGAAATTCACAAATACTTTCCTATAACAAAAACATGATAGTAATAAAACTTTGGTGATATATGTACAAAACCTTTAATTTAAAGGGGAAAAAAATTAAATTACATTTTTGTTAACCTGTTTGCGCTGAAAACGGTATTAAGCGGGCGAGCGCGGGGTGACGTTAGGCGAAGTGGGAGGGCAGTCAAGGTCATCGCAGATATATCAGTCGTTTTGTAGGGATTGAATTTTTTTCTAAAAGCATGCAGCATGATTGAATTGTATACCCGGTTGTTTATATGCATAGGCATTTGCAGGATAAACACGTAATGCGAAAGACAGTCAGACTGACGTATATATTGTAGAGATTTAATGTATTCATTGAGAAAAAGTAGTATGAGAAATTACTCTCAATATCATTTATTATTATAATTTCTAATACAATTTCTCAATTATTTTACTGTGTTGTCAATATAATTTTCTTATTGATTGTAACATAAAAACAGGAAAAAAAACTTTACTTCATTGCAAAAAATTAACTTTTGTGGTCCAGGGCAACGTAAAATTGTAATTTGCATACCATACAGGAAACAAAGAAATTAACATTTGGAAACGGTAATAAACGCGTTTACATACGAATAAGTGTTTTTCAAACCTACCTAGGTTCCCAAATGTTAGCACAATGCAATGCGAAATTTTTAAAGTATATACAACGAACAAATTTTCGGATTTCGTCATTATATTTAAAATCTGTAGTATATTTCAACCAAAATTGGATATGCAAACAAGAACCAACCCACACCTCGAGGGGGGAAATTGAGTTATGTATTTAGGTAGAACACCAGACGTGTCCTTTGTCCGGTCACAAAAGGTCCTGGCAATATACCAAGCCAAAACGGAGAAAATATAAGTCCTTCAGGGTACCAACCCTAAATAAGTAACTTTTTAATAGCTAAAAAGAACCATGCTGCTTAACTTCATATAATGTGTTTTTTTAAATATGCTAAGTGGATCCATGTCACTTGTACTGAAGTACTGTAGATCTTTAGCGTTTTCATTACGAAACCTAGGACATGGCTCTCGTTAACTGAATAAAAAGATACATAATGTTTTCTATTTATTGCTATATATTATAATAGTTTCCCTATGCTACATCTAATTCACGTTGTTTGTCTCAAATAACTTACTTATTTCTTCACACTGTTTTTACAAAAAAGTAATTATCTCGAAAGTGACATTTTGTGGGTTGGTTCTAGTTTGCATAACTATGTCCAATTCTACAAATTGATTATAAAGAACCTAGAAATGCGTGGATTGCGAGATTACGTAAATATGTAGCTACGTAAATAGGCAGCTATGTGATAACCACATCAGCAACGTTTCTCGAGTTACTCTTTTCTACATACTTGTTACACAATTAAAAACAAATATTGTCAAACCAGGGGGTCGATTCAGAGCCTTACGATAACTCTGTTGTCGACCGATTTCTTTTAATTTTTATTCACAACACCCGAATGTCAAACTGCGTATTCGAAACCGAACCGAAATGACGTCACACCCGTACGATTACTCGAGCTTCTCGACCGGCAAAAGCTACAAGCGTTATTCAGAACACGGTTATCGAATGAAAGGAATGCAATATGGAAATCTCTTATTATTTTAAATAAAGTCTAGATTTTCTTCAATTTTTAAATTTATTTTAATACAAGACTAATGCATTCTTACATTTTAGGCCTTTAAAGTCTTAAAAATGTATATAAAAGGATTTATTTTTCTTATAATCTATTTCACCGTCTAAATCGATCGTTTAACTCGAATGTTCTGAATAGTTCGGAAAGCGCCCTTCGATTCGAGAACGATATCCATCGAACGATACGGTTAAAATATCGATAAGATTGAATCGGGGTCCAGGCACAAAACCTTTTAGAGAACGTCCTTTTTCCGGAAAGACAATGTTGTTGTTGTATTTGGACTGTCTTTTGCTTTACGCGGTTATCCGGATTTCCGTATTGACTAATCCTTATGTTAACGAATCTTTAGAATTAACCGATAACTCGCAGTTGTAATTATTATTTCAATATTCTCTCGTATTATCTTTTCTTTTTACACTACTTTTATTTATGTATATTATTTTTATATTTGTTTTCTTCCTTTCTCTATCCTTTATAAAAGACCAACGCGATCCAAATCTTCTGTCTGACGATGAAGTGTTCTTCGAATCTTCTGTGTCGACTGTGACGTCATCAGTGACGTCACCAGTGGTTTCCGAGCCGAGGCAGCCTGTGGTTATTATCAAACCTCCTGCTGTTGTTCATCAGACCGTTGTTAGAGGTGAGGGGTTAAAGTGAGGTTCAGGGTTGAATCTCAGGTTTGAGTTTAGATGTGAAAGGTGTTTGTGGCGTTTATGGTGAATTTAGGCTTTAAACTGTGAGAAAGAGAGAGAGTTGACAGTGTGAGTAGCTTCAAATAACACGTTATGATAATTGTATTCGTGGAGTTCAATGTTACAGTTTCATGCTGCAGCAAAATAAAAAGACTAGATAAATAATTGAAACTTGCGCATGTTGTATTATTGATGATGATGTTTTATTACAAAATCTTTTCTATTGAATCGATTCTCTTGAAAATCGCATTGAAATAAATCGATACAAAAAATCGTTTGATCGTATGAACTTCAATTGATTTTTATAGAAATCGAAACTAAACGTGCATCCTTAGTAGTGAGAATCCACAGGATTGCAAGGTGGGTATTGTGTAGAATTGCTTCTTTTTCGTCTAAATTTTCCGTTTGTGCCCACGATTTTGAGCAGAAATAGGTTAAAACCTGCCTGTCTCTGGTAACGGTTTTTATTACATTTTTCATTAAAAAAACGGTCGTAGGCCATTATTGATAAATGAATGTAATATGAATTTTTGGGATTGGATGTGATAATTGTGAGTCGAAAGGGTTGAAAGTGTTGTTAAACGATAAATTAATTGTATTTGTGTTAATTTACAATTATTTAAAATGGGGCTTATGGTTATTTCGAGGACCTCATTGTCTGAGTGGTTATGGAGAAAAAACCTTTCGAAATTTTGTTCTATATCTGTATCTGGGTATTCTGGATAGTGAACACGGTACTCATGTACGAGGAATTCTCTTGTTGTGCGAGTGTCTGGTATTATTAGTGTTCGTTTCATCGTTTGTTTTGTCTTGTATTGTTTCTATTTTGTCTTGTTTGAGTCTCAGAACGCTATTCACATGTCGTCTGTGTGTTGTCTCAGTTAATTATTCTTGTCAATATTCTGTTTCTCTGTAGGCCAGAGTCGCGTTAAAATCCATTTTATTTTACCTCCGTACTTGGTCTTGTTCAATGTTCTGTATGTCAGTTTATTATCTAATCCTTTTTCATTTGTATCTACTTTTTCTTTATTGTTTCCCTGTAAAAATCGTACCCAACTTTTATTCGCTCACAATAAACCATGGTTTATTTTTGCTATCTACAAGATGTATCAAACTATTAATGAAAGTGGGAAACAAGTTACTTTTTCATATTTCTCTTTATGAATTTAGCTATTAGCAAAAATATACCATATCGACTGTGAACTGGCAATCGGTACTATCTCGATTTTCTAAAGATTTCAGTTTTTAATACCATTTTATAATATTTCATACTCTGCAGCGTTGCAAGAAATTCCATCTCAAAAAAATTTAATTTTGGCGCCAGAATCGACTTCATTCAACTTGTACTAACATCTAACCAGATGCTATACAAATGACGCAAACAATTCTTTTCTTCATTCTGTATTATTGTCAAAATTTAGATAGTACCGGTTGCCAGTTCACATTCGATATAGAAATGTTTTTATTGAAGAGACATTACTCATTGGCGTCGATTCTAACATTAAACATTCTTGCTTTACAGAATCTGATAAATTAAGTTCAATTGGCGTTCACCCGAATCGACGCTTTTGTGTAATTTGCACACTTTTTGTTGCACCTCATTTAAACCTAACCAATTCCCCGCACTTACAGGTAAACTAACCCAAGATCGTTCCGAAGCATTGTCAACTAACAAACGTTCCACACATGACTATTCCCGAATTTCTAATTTCGAAAGTACCCTCAGAAAATTTGATCAACACCCAAAGTGTAAACTGAGCTTAACGTCTCGTATGAACTCTGAAAGTAACCCCTTACAGATCGGGAACTTGAGTAGTCTCTCAAGTTTGTGTTCCATACCTTCTATAGAATGGGATGGTAGGTGTAAGTCAGACTACGTCTATCGTACTCGGTCTCTGCCCCATCAAAGAGTGCCAAATAGTAATAAATTGTACAGAACTCAATCCCACAGCGGTTTCATAAACTCCTACATAAAAGATCCTCAGCCCTTTCATTATCATCTACCTAAATGCAAATCTTGCGGTGCTACTAACTCTTCTTACGCATGGGAAGTTGTCAAAGATGAAAAGAAACGAAATATCAGTAGCATTTATTTCTCTGTTGATAATCTACCCCAAAAATGTCTCGATGAATGTGAAAAGGTGGTCAAAATTAAAGAGAAGATAGTCCCTGTCTTTAAAGTACCTAAAATTGACACAGAGTTTGTTGAGAGTCAAGAATTTAACGAAGATAACTATCTGGCAGATGTCAACAGTTTCTCATCTGAAAATCAAACTGTCATTGAACAACCTACCTTTGATGCTGCTTTGGATCTTAACAATGAAGTTTCTAATACTCAATTTGATACTGTGCATCAAAATACTCCTGAGTCGTCTCCTAAAAGCGGAGGATGTGAAATCCAAAAGGAAAATGTGATTGAAAATGAAGTTTTTGATGTGAAAAGTTCTTTGAGCGATATTTTTAGAGCTGAATGCGTTGAAATTACTAATGAAGAGAATAACACTTCGGCAGAAGGAGAGTATCATAGTTTTTCAGACGATTTCGAAGAAAGTATCTATGATAGTCCAGTCAAAGAATTAGTAGAGAAAGATATCAGAGATTACTCTGTACCCATAGATTTTTATTGCGAAGATTATCTTCGAAGAGAGAGCATTCGAAGTCCTAGAAAGTCACCGGCGAAAAAAGAACCTAAAATTGTTTTAGAACCCATTTTGGAGGAATCTAAAAGCTCTAATGACGATTCTGGTTTGTCTTGCAACGCTACTGAGAAAAACGATGTAAGCTTTGCAGATCAAATAGCTAAGAAAGAACATAAAAGGGAATGTATTGACACAAATCTTATAGGAACAAAGGAGGATCTACCTGTGAATATGGAAGAACCACAAGTGACTGAAACAGAATGTAATAGTAAGTATTCTGATTCAATTCTAAATAACAGTATCCTTTTTACAAAAAACGTACAAGACGTGATTGAAAGGAACGAAAAAAGGACAGTAAAGTATGGCCGTGAAGTTGATGTATTCGAAAGGGATAAAAACCATAAGATTGAAGCTAAAGTTACAGATGCAATAGATATAAATGTCAGAAACAAACATCTTTTTATATGTACTGTGTACGATGATACTGCGTTTTCCGAAAAGACAGAAGATAGCAATGAAATAGTCAAAAATATAATGACCGAAGTTTTTACGAAAGTGGAAACAGCTATTGAACTCAAACTGGAAATAAATAATTCTGGTATAAAAAAAATGTCTTCAATTATACTTGCAGCTAAATGTTCACTTAATCGTTGTAGTAATATACCTCAAGACGAAGATTATGATAAGGCAGTGTATGAAAGTCATACTAATTCCGTACCGACAGCTATAAACGTTTATACCGAAACAGAGACTTGCGTTTCGGACCAACAAGATATCGTTAATAGTATGTGTGAAAATATATTCGAAATTTTATCTTATGATACCTTTACGAAAAAGGACGATTATGATACCTTTACGAAAAAGGACGATGCATCTGATGGTGATATTGTTGTACGTTCGGATGGTATTACTGAAGAAAAGGAAAATGTATCTACTGATGGGGTTTCAGGAAGACCTACTGGAAACTTGAAATTAACAAGAAAAACCTCCATAGGGTCTAGTATAAGCTCTGTATGCGCAAAAAGTTTTGATTCAACAGCTGAATTTGAAAAATACGAAGAGATTTCCGACATTATTAGTAACATTTTGGATAAAATTGATTATAAATATGATAATAAAATCTTGATCACAGCTCCTAAACATAGAAATTTTCACATTTTTCGTGTTAAAGCTCCAGATTCACTTATTGCTGAAGAGAATTATACTATCGGACAAGACAATGAAATACAGAAAAGCCAAATAGATACAAATAAAGAAAATTGTGGAGCTCTTCAGCATGATGCTGCAAAAACGCTTGATACACACGATTGTATGCACTATGAAGAAGAAATAATCAATAACGTCAACCTAAATAGAATACATAATTCTGAAAACCAAATACTGTACAAAACGCAGGTAAACTCGAAAACAGAATTCAATAAGAAAATTAAAAAATATGAAATTTCCAACTTACCCATTGATAAAGTCAGTCCAGTATTGGATTTAAAAGCTAAAGCTTCTTGCGACTATTTCAGCAACTCTGATACACCATCTGTAGGTTCAAAAAATATCGTAGAAGGCTATATAAGTGGCAATGAACCAAAACTTAAAACTGTTTTAAAATCAACTCCAAACGACGAAGAGTGTTTTGTAGTGCAAACTGAATCACAAACCTATTTTGATTCTTCTGATTCTAAAACCCATTCAAGTACAGAATCGGTTCAAGAAGACTTTTCTATTGCAAAAATTATACAAGATATGGAATTGATTGATTTTAATGAAACTCTAGCAACTGAAATAAGTGACACAAATTTGGAATCTACGATAATAGTTGAGGCTATACTTTATTATATATTTGATGAAGCTTTTTTTGTTTTGGGTAAAAAAATTAAGGCACCAAAAAAGAAGAAAGCAAAAAAAGTTGTAACAGTAGCTGATATGGAAGATATTCTTTTTACTGCTAAGCCTCTTTGGTCTGATTGTGATTTATATGAAAAGTATGTAAACGCGAGTGAAGATGTGAAAGTGGATGAAAGCGACGTATCGTTTTTATTTGAAGAGAATTTCGCTAAAGACAGTGTCGCAATATGCGAAAAATCCATTACATTCGAAGTACCTGACCATGATATTGAAAATGTGAGGTTGAAAACTACAAAAGTAGATTTTGTAGAATTAAATGAAGAAATCAAGGAAACTCAAATTATTGGACATAATATTATGTCTGTAGATATTGAAAAACAGTGCGAAATAGATTCCACTATTCATAAAAATGATATGCCAAAACTTGAAGATGTCAAATTTATGGTAAATGATAAAATTACATGTATAAT